GGAGCGATACTTTGCGATCAATGGGTTGACTGAGGAAGAGAAACTCATGGCAGCGAGATTATGCTCTAAGAGAAAGGCTTTAGCGAGGTTCTAATGGATGGCAACAAGGTATCTGATACTCTCATGGGAGAAGTTTAAGGATTGCTGTTGAAAAGTTTCTGAGTCATTCATGAAAGAGATCTACATGAGCAATTCTATGTTCTGAATCAAGAGGAGACGGTTATGAAGTACCGAGAGAATTTTGAGCTTTTGTTAAGGAGGTTGTGGGGGAATTCTGTAACAGACTTGGAAGGGAATTTCTTGAAAGGTTTGAAGCCCAGCAAACAAACGATCATCCGCCCCTTGAGACTGTGTGGATTGAGGGATGTTGAAGTGCAGGACAAAAAAGCCAAAGGATTGTGTTACCGTTGTGACGAGAAATACGCCCCAGGACATCGTCGCAAAGAGCGTGCTCTTTAGATTCTTTTAGTTCAAGAGGAGGATAAAGAGGGTGAGGACTCATAACAGGAAGCGGCGGAGGAGTAGCATCTGCATTTGAATGTGGCGGAGGTGTCCCTCCATTCGGTGGTAGGATTTAACACGAGTCACATCCACATAACTTTATCTCAAATCAGGTTGAGCAAAAGCTAGGGTTGAAGCTGATGACTACAGAGAGCTTTGGCGTCATGATGGGGACATGGAATGTGGAGAGAAGAGGAATTTGCAAGGGTCTAGTTCTGACACTACAAGGCCGATGGGGACATGGAAGGTGGAGAGAGAGGAATTTGCAAGGACTTGGTTCTGACACTACAAGGCCTACAGGTGGTGGAAGACCGGCTCATATGTGATTTTAAGGATGAAGTGGCTACAACAATTGGGAGAAATGAAGGTGGATTGGAAGTCCTTGAAGATGGAGTTCCAACTGGAGGGCAGAAAGGTGGTGCTTAGAGAAGATGCTAGTTTATACAACACCATGATGTCGCTCAAAACCAAGGTCAAGTCAATTCAGGGAGCAGGATTGAGCTGCTTGGAGTTGCGGAGCATTTAGGAGATTTGAGATTCAAAGTTGGGAGTTTCCAGAAGGGGTCCAACAGCTCCTACAACAGTTTACTGATGTTTTCCAGCAGCCAAGTGGGTTAACCCCTAGGAGGGAGCGCACATGCTATTACATTGAAGAAGAGTGACTCTCCCATCAGCATCAAACCATACAGGTACCCCCAGATTCAGAAAAATGAGATAGAGAAGCTGATCTCAGAGATGCTAAAAGCTGGAATTATCAAGCCTAGTATGAGCCATATTTTCAATCTCATATTGTTGGTAAAGAAAAAAAATGGTAATTGGATATTTTGTGTGTACAACTGGGCTTTGAATAAGAAAAACGGTCTTGGACAAGTTTCATATTCTTGTGATTGATGAGTTACTCAATGAGCTTTATGGGGTAATTATTTTTTCAAAAATTAATCTGAAGCAGGGTATCACTAGATCAGAATGAATACGGCAGATGTACACAAGGCAACAATCAGGACACGAAAAGGATATTATGAATACATAGTGGTGTCATTCGGCCTCACGACCGCCCCGGTAACATTTTAGTCCCTCATGAATAGGGTTTTTCAACCTTATCTTTGAAATTTGTTCTGATTTTTTTATGATATTCTCATTTATAGTCGTACAGAGACGGAGCATGTGGGGCACCTGAGGTTTGTCTTCGAGACTTTGAGGGAGCGCCAGTTGTATGCCAACTTGAAGAAATATAATTTTGCACATTTGCAGATGGAGTACCTAGGACATGTGGTGACCAGAACAGGCGTAGCAGTGGATAAATCTAAGATTGAAGTTATGGTTGATTGGCCCTTACCAACAAGTTTGAAGGAGTTCAGAGGATTACTAGGTCTCACCGGTTACTACCGAAGGTTTCTGTGAGGATATGACACGATAGTATAGCCACTAACAGAAGAGTTGAAGAAAGACAATTTCAAATGGGGAGTAGTAGCAACACATGCTTTTGAACAGTTGAAGAGGGCCATGACTAGCGTACCAGTATGAGCACTTCCAGATTTTGGCAAACTATTCAAGGTGGATACGGCTGCGTCGAGGTACGGATTGGAATCAGTGCTCATGTAAGATCAATGGCAGATTGCCTACTTCAACCAGATTCTTACAGTCATAGCGAGGCTAAAGTCAGTATATGAGAGGGAATTGATGACAATTGTCCTGTTCATTCAGAATGGCGGTCCTACCTGTTGGATCGATATTTCTTGGTCGGGACAGATCATAGGAGATTAAAACTTCTGAAGCAACGGATGGTGATTGAGAAGCATCAGAGATGGTTATCCAAACAACTAGGGTATGATTCGAGATTCAGTATCGACCAGTATTAGAGAACAGGGCAGTTGACGCAATGTTAAGAAAGGTGTAGGAACCCAATTAACCCAATTAACGACCCTATCGGCACCCTTGGTCCTAGATTGAGAGGTCTTGAGACAGGAGAGCAAAAGGGATGAGGAGCTAAGGAAAATAAGGACCAAATTACAACAAGATCCGAACAATCATCCAGGATGTGCATTGAAGTAAAAGCAGCAGCTCCACCAGCGGCAATTCATGTTACCCAAGTCGTCGGAGTATATTCCCACGTTATTACAAGAGTTTTATGGCAGTGCAATCGGGGTTCATTCAAGGGAAAGACCTACAATCGTTTACAGACAAAGCATTATTGGGTGGGGATGTGTAGAGACGTGGCGGCAAAATGTAATGTGTGTCAGCGCCATAGGTACTTAACCGCAACACCAGGAGGTTACTACAACCATTAGCTTTACCGCAGAAGGTTTGGGAAGAAGTGACAATAGATTTTATTGAGGGGTTGCAACAGTCAGAAAAGTTCACGATGATTATGGTGGTCGTGGATTGTTTAAGTATGCACATTTCATTCTCTTACGACATCCCTACACTGCGATCTCAGTCGTGGCGGTGTTCATCCGGGTAATATGTTTTCATGGGGTGTCAGAATCAATTGTATTAGATAGAAACAAGCTGTTCATCAGCCACTTTTGGAAATAGCTATTTAGATTGCAAGCAACAGTCCTTAAAAGAAGCACCGCATACCATCCCCATACCGATAGCCAGTCGGAGGCGGTCAACAGGAGTGTGGAGACACACATGCGTTGTTTTATTTCTAATACACCGCAGTTATGAGCTAAGTGGATTGCATGGGTCGAATATTGGTATAATATTTCATACCACACTGCCGCACAGACAATCCCTTTCAAGATAATATATAGACGGGATGCACCCCACTTGATACATTATGGCCATAGCACTACACCGGTATCCATCGTTGATCCGTACTTCGAGGAGAGGGATAGGATATTAGCTGAGCTCAAGGGGCATTTTCTGAGGGTTCAACAAATCATGAAGAGGAAAGCGGATTGACACAGGAGAAGGTGCAATTCGAACCAGAGGACATGGTCTACTTTAAGCTGAGGCCCTACCGACAAAATACATTGGTCAGGAGGAGAAGCGAGAAACTTTCACCGAAATACTTTGGGCCTTATGAGGTGGTGGAACGCATCGAGGCAGTGGCATACCGTTTGAAATTACCACCATAATCCACACTACACCTGATCTTCCATGTATTACAGCTGAGACGAGCGATTGGAGATCACACATGCTTATCTACACTACCGCCGATGTTGACGATGGACTTGAAGATAATTCTAGAACCATTAAAGATCGAGAGTGTGTTGAGAAGGGGAGCGAAGGAGGTATTGGTTAAGAGGTGATCCACAAGCAGTTTTCATCTTTCCACTCTAAGGATAAGGTACTTTATTGGGAGGGAAGTAATCTTACCACCATATACTAGCCAGTCCAGGAGGGAACGACCGATTGCAGCACGGCCGACCCACAAGTCGCCTAGCTTTTGTCACGGGAAGAAGGGAAGGGACCCAGGCGAGGCACAGAGTATGAAGGACGGGGTGGGGTCCACTCGACCCATAATCACATCTTCAAATAGGAGAAATTGAGAGGAATTTGGAGGGAAGTTTAGAAGGAAAGTTTTTAAATGTTGTATGAGGATTCTCTTAAAGAAGGAACGTAAGATTGGTTTTATTTTCATGCATGTTTTTTGTGGTTGTTGTTTTGGTTTCTTCTTGTTCTATTCCTAGCAACGTCTAGGGTGTGGGTGTGGGTGTGGGTGTGGGAGAGACGATCTATCTCTCGAATAGTAGATCACCCTTGTAACTTGCTTGTTTTTCTTTTATTATTGTAAGAGCAGCCCTTAGTAGTGTTTTTCCACCTATCTACTACAACTTCGTCGTCGTTTGTTCACTGATTTTAGTACCGAGTATCAGTGTCCACCCAACATGAACAGAAAATTAAGATGGTCAGGATTCTAGACACAAACCAGACCAAAAAGTTCGGGACAACCCAATCAGATTTTTTTAGTCAAATTCAAATCAAGTTGATGTGTCGAGTTAATTTTTTACACCCCTTGAAGCAACATCCTAGTAAGAACACAATAAGAAAAAGAAAAACTGTGCGCACAACTTGCAAGCACAATTACCTAACAATTTTGAATCTACCATTAAGTCAACAGGAGGTATGAAACCAACTACACTATTGGCATATGCCCAAGCAAGTACTCATTTTTATTTATTATTTTCCAACATGCATTATATTATCAATTTATTAAAAAATAACATAGCGACAGTTAGGTAGAGCTCATAAAAAATAATCCAATGGTGATTATTGATTTAAGTTTTCCAACCCCTTTTTTCCCATTTCCTTTCACTTAATTTCCTAGCATCCAAAAATAGCCATTAAAAAAAACAATAAAATAAACAAAACCACAAAGTACGACATTCAATCATGATATATGAACGTATTAGAAGGCCGCCATCAGCTATAAAAATTTTCAGTGAATAAGTGCCAATGAATGAAGTAGTAGAAGTCCTTGTAGGTAGATAAATCAATGAAACATATAAACGAATATTAAGAATTACAAAACCAAAATGAATGTATGTTACCAGGAAGGGCCTTCAAAGCACGTTGGAAAATTTTAACTGCAGAATCCAGAGAAGTATTCTTTGAACTCCATGTTGCATAGTCATACCATATATCAGGATAATGGTACAAATACATGATGCACTAGAAACCAATAAAGAATGTTAGGATAGATAGTGACATGTTCCCTACATTATAAAAGTGTCAATTTTAATCCTAGACAGTAATTTTAGTTTTTGTGTCCAATGTAAACCCTTAAATTATCAATCTTAACCTTTTATATTCATCTGACACCTCATCAATCTAATGTTGATAGAATTGGGTCATCAAAAGAATTCAATTGAGTAGAATTTCAAGCTGTCAAGTTGAGAATGCCCTAAAGATCCACACTAAAGCTTTCTTTATAAAGTTACGCGATCCGCAAAAATTGGCGAGAGAATTGGGATTCGTATAGTGACAAAGAGTCAAAGAAAAATCTGAGAGACTCGGTGACCCTATACAGTGGCAAATCAAGGCATGCCTTAATCTTATTGGCATTGTATCCCGTATATATCTTCCCTCCTCTCCAAAAAGTCATGTTTCTAAGCATATCAAACTTCAGTCTCATGGCTTTATTCTCTTTTTCCACTTTTCATTGAGTATCAACCAACCACGGATTAAGAGAAAGAAGCGGCAATTGGAATGACCCTCAATGAATAGTAAAGAGAGAGCCTCCAAAACTATAAAGCAACAAATGAGCCAGTGAATTATGCCAATAAAGACATTGCACAAGAATAACACAATTTATTTTCTATGGAACAGTCTTCTATAATGAGCCAGGTCTCCACAAGAAGTCTCAAAAACAATTGACAAATTATTAATATGGGGGTAAATGAGAGATTTGCACCACACCATATAGCAAGTCTATTAAACTAATAAACAAGCATTTCACTTCAAAAAAATATAAAATTATTTTTAACAAAAGCCTTAGCATGGCATTGTCGGGTTTCAAGCCCCGGATGCAAAAAGTGGAAGGTTGCGCTAGATAGCCGACAACCGGCATAAAAATTATCGAAAAAATATGATATTAATACTTTAAATTGCAGATCCCATTTAGTGGGATAAAGACTTGCTTGTATTAATTCACCAGGGATAAGGAGTGCATTCATAGTTCATGCAATTTTACATTCAATCTTTCTCAAATACTTTGAAATTTAAAGTTTATATCATGGTATACATATCTTTAATGACTCTAGTATACATATCTTTAATTTTTGAACACAAGAACAACTCTAGTATACATATCTTTAATGACTTGAATATAAGTCATATCAACACCTTTCTTCTCAAGAACTCTCCAAAGGATATCTCTTGGAACCTTATCGTAAGCTTTTTCTAAATCAATAAAAATCAAATGTAGATTCTCCTTATTATCTCTGAACTTCTCCATCAAACCTCTCAATAAATGTATAGCTTCCATAGTAGACCTGCCCGACATAAATTCAAATTGATTATGAGAAATTTTTGTGATGCGTCTTAACCTATGTTCAATTACCCTCTCCCATAATTTTAAAGTATGACACATCAACTTAATTCCTCTATAACCTGCACACTCTTGTGCATGCCCTTTATTCTTAAAAATGGGGACCAAAATAC